CTAGTTACAGATAATAATTAGACTTTATTTTAACTATGTTTTACGATTTATCATATTTCATTAAATCATATCATCCGTTATCTATATTGTCCAATATACGAAGGACATTTTATATACTGTCCGGACAATGTATAAAATGCCCAAATTGCATACTTTGCACTAAACATATATATATATATATATATGTATATGACATTTGTGGAATCCGAGGCCCTAATGCAAATATTTTTATCAAGTGGTACCTTGCATCACCTGCACCTGCGGTAGTTGCGGCACTGCAATCCCTGTATTTTTCATACATAGATCCAGTACATATTTTATTTTGGCTAAATATTAGTGTAGGTATTTAGTATGTTATCACAAAGGCCACCCTATACCATACCATCAGCGCCGGCGAAAGCTATGGACAACCTGGGCGATTGCCAAGGGTGCCAGCAAGAAAGGGGTGCCAAACTGAAAATTATTTTTATCTAATTTTTCTTTTAATACGCATTAACAATCTACAAAAAGTAAGAATATAATAGTTGTGCCTCCTATTTCAATACTGCATCGATACCGCTGGATTTTATATGAAAATAATGCATGGAAACATACTGTATACCACCGCATTTGTATGTATAAATAAAATATAATATAGATAGATGGTCCTAATAATTATTTTCATAAAATATTTAGCCGTTTATAAATAAATTCATATATCACTAGACGATTACATAAAATCCGTGGTGGTGAAACCATTCGGACATTACGGCGAAAATACCGCAGTGTGGCATAAATCAAGGACACATGTGTCTGACGCACAATTGTTTTCGACGGGCTTTTACTACGTACGATCTACTTTATAATGTCAAAAATCTAAACTAACAAGTTACAGTCAACAAGAAATCAATATTCATATTTTTGGTTTAGTTAATTTGTGTACATAATATTTTGATTTCTAATTATTTATTAAAAATGAACTCCGTTCACTGGTTTTCTTAATAAATAAGTAGTTAATAAAATACCATATTTAATGGCGTAATTTGGAATAGGTTCTGGAGTGGTGGGATACTATCGTTCTACTGGAGCTATGTCCCCCACACCCCCCTTACCATTAAATCTCTTATATTTTAATATTATATTAATTTATTATTATAAATTAAATGAGGCAAATGGTATAATGATGATTGTAAAAATGTTAATTTTTAATCATTAACATTTCCTAACTTTGTACTTACAGGTTGTTCCACAGAAATCATTAATGTAGATTGATCTAATTCTTTATTTTTCCTAAGAAAATATCCTTGTTTTTGATTTTTAAATTTATGGACATGGGTATGCCATAATAATTACATAGATATAAAAAGTACATAAATGTATGAATATTTAGATTTCAAAAAATAGTTCAACATTATTACCACAAGTTCTTTGCTAAGTTGCTCTTGATTTGAATCACATTTTGACAAGCTGTTTTCTTGATCAATTCTTTAACTTTTTTTTTAAAAAGAAGAAATTAAGGCATTCGACTGTCTTTTTATTTTTTATTTAATAATTAAATAATATATTAAATTTAAACTATCACACAATAGACATACATCCACAGTTAAAGAAAAATAATATTATTTTATTACTCGTTTTATTATAATATAAATAATAATAGACATTGATGTTGCACTGTTGCTCAATGTTTACAGTAATATAATATTCAAAAATAGTTAATATCTTATACCGCTAAGTAGAATAATATAGTATAATGATACATTGTTTGTCAATGTCGTCGATATCTATCCATATCACCACTATAATTACACCACTGCTATATTCCTATATTATAGGCAGTGGTGGCGTGAAATAATTTATTCTCCACAAAAACTTTCAAAAAGTAAAAAAAAAACGTTAACCTCAAAATTTGAACTATTATATTCTAGCGACAAAAAAAAATATGTCCAAAGAATTCACTGATATAATACTAAATATATACTAACACCTAACTACAAATTTTCGATCTCATGGTTTGATAATAAGATATTTTTCCGTTTTATCCAGGGATAATATATTATTATAAAATACATTTTTAAGTCAATACATTAATATTATTGTTTTAATATTCTTAATTTATAAATATTATTTTACATTTATACCTATAATACATATGTCTATTATATATTATATGTATATAATAAATGAAAATGCTATGGGACGGGGGAGGGTTGACTTTATTTTTTCCTTTCCTCTTAAACATCATGTATTTATATCTAGAGTAGCCATTAAATTATAAGGCGAAACTGGGAGAAAACAAACACAATATTGAGTAATATACTTTTTAAATAACTTTTAATATATTGAGAGGACCAATATACAAGGGGTGGATATGAAGATCAGATCCCCCTAGGCCTTTTTTTAAGTTATAAAATAATTTTCTTAGTGTGAGGGCGTTAGAAATGTAAAAAAAATTATTTGTTTGCAAATTATCCCTTCTCCCATAAAAGTTAGCCGGCATTATATTTAAAAATATATTTGTAAAATAAAATATGTTGTATATTTGTGTAAATTACAAATTATGTTATTATATATTGGTAATCGATTACGATTAAATATGTACTTTGAAATAAAATGATCGAAGTTATAAATTTAACAATACAACATTTCCTCTAAACGTCCAAGACGCATCATATGGACGTTCCGAAAATATTTTTCGGGACACCGGGAAGCGAAGTCCAAAACCAGTGACAATCCCGGTTTTCCGGGACGTATGGCAATCCTATGTATAACCCATACTGGTTGCCCGAATGACCAACTGGTTATTAAACTATTAGTGATCTTATAAGGCTACGGTTACTATGTATGCGAGTTCTGACGAATAATTATTCTGACGAATTTGTTGTCAGAACAAAGCGGTTACACTGTGCGCGGTTTTTGACATTCTGGTGGTCAGTATGTTTCTGCCACCCAGTAAAGATGGACGAACTTGATAAATTGTATTTTCTTGAAAGTCCGTTATTGAAATTATTTTTGTTAAATGGTGGAAAAACAGCATGTCAACGAGTTATTTTCTAGAAGAGACGACAAAAGAGAGTTTGAAATGTTATTTCAAGAATTGTGGGATCAACCGGAAAAGTTTTTCGAGTATTTCAGGATGAAACCAGAAACATTTAAATACAAACTGGAGAAAATAGAAGAAAGTATTACAAAGTTCACTCATGTCCCACAAACACCTATTCTCATACACGAGACTGATTAATTTATCGGGATCCATGGTTCAAATAAATAAATAAATTGTAATAATTATATAATAATCAAATCTCGTCAAAACATTCACATTTCGGACGAAAAAATCAAACTTGTTTGAACGCTCAACTGTTTCTGACGACGTCGTGTATGTTGTGGCGTACTCAACGCTATCAGTGTAAACGATCTCATTGAAAAACAGGCGTTTGTTTGTTTTGACGAATACGTCAGAACTCGTCAGAACTCGCATACATAGTAACCGTAGCCTAAGACAGTTAAATATACAAATACCGATAAAACGTTTACACTTTAGCAATTTTATTATAAAAATTTTAACTCGTAGACAAAACTAATAATATGCACACAATTTTGAATTATGTAATTACGAACTTGATTTAACATTTTAACATTCTTAATGTGTGTAATATGTAATTGTTTTTAAACTGACAATTTAATTACATTTTTCAAACATTAGTGTTTTCTTTGTACCAAGACAATAACTAACGTCATTAAAAAAAACTGTCAAAAATGGATAATACGTATGACATACATAAAAATAAGTAATTATAACAGTAATAATCTTAAATAAAGACATTAATTACCATTTAAAGGTTTTTAAAATTACTTACTGAAATAAAAATACATAAAATGTATTTAACTAATTTTTCGTATGATTTTGATTCCAGATATTCATATTTTATTCTATCTAGTGATAATATAGTGATAAAATAGTGATGTAATTTCCCAAATTCTTGTAATGGCATAGAAACAGGTATTATAACGAGTGGTCGAGCATTCATACCATTTTAAATCGCGATTAATCTCAAATAATCGGTTCAATGCAACCAAACCTAAGTTTTATGAACACATAATGTAATACTTGTACTCTAAAACTTGATTATAAACCAAGTATTTCTGTAAATTGCTATGCAAGTATAGCATTAAAAAATTCTAACTGCTGATAAAATTGTACAATATAAACAAACACAGTAAATTTAGATTAACACCAGTCTAGATGATTTTAGTGGGTACTAAAATGTTGTCAGTATTATCACATACACAATACTATTATTCAAGCTTGAAATAAGACATTTTGTAATTTTATAATTTTTTTTTTTTTTTAAATATACTTCTATCATACTTTTTCTTCAAGTATTATGTTAAAAAAAATAAATATAATTAAGTTTTATAATTTGAAAATATTGAATGCACATTCACTACTATATTACAATATAAAGTAAGTATCTTTTGTATTTTCATGACTCATGTAAATAAAATTTTTCATAAAGTGGCGTCCAATCCTTAATGTGTTATGACTAGATATCACTTCCTTTTGCAATAACAGATGAGCAAGTAACCATTATGATACAAATCTAAAAAAAATATGTTCTTTCTGTGCTTCTTTTTTTAGTTAAAAAAGGGAGAATGTGGATCATTGATTACAAATTTTAAGAAAATCAGTGGATGGGTCCAAAAAATCCAGTTGCTACACTATTAAATTTAGACTAATCTATAATTATACCCATAATAATATAGTATGCAATAAAGCAAAATTATAAAACATATTTCATTATATTTAAATATAAGATTTATTTAATATAATATTTTACCATAAAAATATTTAAGGGTAATTAAAAAGCTTAAGATTAAAATTTGGTTTAGTTGGAAATTATTCAGGATCCTAAAGATTATTCAAAATAAACTAAATATTATATATACTTAATTTTTTTCTACAGATTATACCTAAATGAATAATTATACAAATAAAAAAATTAAAACTTAGGCTACAAAAATGTATGATTATATATTTAATGAAATTAAATATTCCAGAGATTAATAAGTCATGAAATATTTTTAAAATTATGATGGTAGATAAAATGGTTGTTTGCAGTAGTTTAACCTAAAATTGTTTTTGCCACAAATAATTGAAAAAAATCCACACCTGAAAAAAAAATGTAGAATATACCATTACAATCCTAACTACAGTAATTTATAATAAGCAACATTTAGAATTAATTGTTTGTTCAATTTATTTATTAAGAGTTGAGTTATATAGTACAATTAGTTCACAATAAGTTTCATTGAAATATGATTAAAAAAAAAATTAATAAATCTATGGCTAAAATTATTTAATAAAGTGTATTGAACAAGTAAAATAAAATACACATTAAAAAAATGGAAACTTATCTCTATTTTAAGCATCACTTGGCTAAATAATTTAATTTATTTAATTTACCTTATGATCTTGACCGACTGGCTGACTTTGAATGTCCTCTTGAACTACCAGAACGAGAACGTGATCGTGATCGAGAATAAGAACGTGAACGACGTCCACGAGACCGGGATCTAGAATATGAACGACGTCTAGGCGAACGAGACCTAAATAAATAGCATAGATGCATGATTAAATGTATTGTATTAACTAAAATAAATAACATAAGACAATGTTTATGATATTTAAACTTATTCCGATCTGTTAGGGGTTAAATTATTATCATTTAAATTTAACAAGATTAAAATTCTTCAAGCGCGAAAAAGGACTTCATAAAAAAATATAACAAATTGCGATTTCCTAACCCTAAACAGAGTTGCCAGGATGACTCAGGATTGCTTTGTTTAGTTTTTTAAATTTAAAGTCAGCAAACTGAAATCTGCAACTGGCACTCGGCTGATCAGCAGCTAGTCAGCATGCATCTGCTATTGGCAGGAACAACGCCCTCGCCTTCTGCTGCGGTCAGCACGATTATTACACCTTAGCTCAGCCTCAGCCACAGCACTCAGCCGCCACTCCCCAATTACACCCCACACCTGAAAATAGTGCCGCTGCTATCAATGGGGTTTAACAATGCTCACATTCTTTTTTTAACAAAATTAGTTATTATTTTTAATGATTTAAGTTAATTAAGTCAAATAGTTACTGAATTATTTTTATCATGTAAGAAACACTAAATATTAATAATAAAATTAAAGTATGAATAAAATGAAAATCAAGAAAAAAAAACTAACATAATAAATATGACAGAAATAAAAATTATAAAACACAATATACCTAAACCATTATACCATAGCATCATGTTGCTTAATATGAAAACTAGTGTGCAAAATCCTTACCAGCAAGATTTAAAATTTAATTTAGATTTTTTATTTAGTTATATTATTTAAAACTATTCATTTTATATTAATTAAATGCCATTTTACAAAATAAATTTAATGAATATAGAACTTTCATTATTTTGCACATAGACTTATTACACAAAACAATGACGAATAGTTGGGTTGAAAGATCATTGGTAATTACATGTTGAATGACTCAATTTGCCGAACATCATCTCATTATCATCAATCAGATTTGAAGAACATGAAGCTGTAAATAGTCAAATAATTATTAAATTAAAAATTATACCTTCTGCGACGTCTCCTATACGGTGAAGTAGGACGACCATAACGAGCCATTTGAACACGTAATTCTCTACCATCCAACATACGACCATCCATGGCATCTAATGCATCTTCAGCATCGCGTTTATCGTAGAACCTGAAACCAAACAATTAAAACTAAAGGGAACTGGTAATACCAATGTTTCAGTAAAAAAAATTGTGTTAATCGCAAATCATATAAGATCAAAGTTTCGGATCACAGCGAACAACCACTAAAAAGGAACTTCGACCCAAAAACTATTGAGGAAGCTCAACTTTAAAGGCGATTATAAATTGTATCGAAATATGCTCAATGGTAAACTTTGTAATCACTTTTGCATGTCTAACCAATGAGGCGAATGGTCCGGAGTAACCGACAAACATTACTAATGAAACGTGCAAAAAAAAAAACTGTGTAATTGGATACCTGACAAAAGCAAATCCTCTGCTTTCCCGCGTGAACCGGTCTCGGGGAATGTAAATGTCTCCAACTTCACCGCATCTCTCGAAAACTCTCCTAAGGTCTTCGGGTGTCGTCCTATAGGTGAGATTGTCAACTTTCAGCGACACCATACCTTCGATCCTCGGCGGTGGTCTGCTGTAGCTCATTTTGAATAATAATTATCAATCACTAGTTTCTGCGGAACACCGTAATGTCGTTACAACACTAGAAAACGATTTACCGCATAACGCGGACGAAAACGGTAAGAGAGTTACAAAAACGATGGTCAAAGAACAAACAATAATTGAGAAATGAAAAGTGCGATCAATAGCTGTTGAACAACCACGAGCAAATCACGTTCAAATGAACGAGAACGCGAATAAAATGGCCGACGGTGCAGTCGGTGTTTCGACCGCAGTGAGTCACATCGAAAACTCTCGTGGAACTGTAAATTTTAAAGCGTCATTTATAACAGTGCTACCAACATCCAACATCACTCATCACGCCATCGTTTTGTACTATGACATTTTAATATTCGTGACGATGGTTCCTATTTGCTTTTAGGCAGTGCTCGACTAGTGGGGGGGGGGGGGGTCGCAGGGGGATGGAGTATCCCAACTAATTTTCAGAAATTTTAGCGTCCCCCTACTATGATTACGCTATAAACATAACGCTCAGCCAGTTTTGGGGACGGTCTTGTTTTTAAAGTAAATAGAGTCTCCCTTCTTTAATTTTGCCTAGTCGAGCACTGCTTATAGGTCTATGAATGTTACACCCGTTGCTCAGTTGTCAACTTTCGAACGTTTCATGGTCGTTATATGTAAGAATACGAAATCCAAAGCCACCCATGAAGGCCTTATATTCACTGTCGTTATTATTAATTATACTGCTGCAACCGATGAACGTTCCAAATAAAAAACAACCAATAATATTAATTTTTAACTAATAAACTCGTTCAACGACTTCTTAAGTCATTATTCTCAAAATACGTACTCGCAGTACGTGAATAAAATAATAAATGTTGTAGAGTTCAATCTTTTTGCTTTACCCATATCAAATATTTCTCTATATAGTCACAAAATAAGAAATTAAGAATTACAATAATAGATTAGGTTTCAAGTAAAGTTATTTCTTGGAACGTAAATAATTTTTTTAATGCATATAGATCGTTAAGCATTAGAAAATGTGAAAACACACTTAGTAGTAAACAAAAAAAAAAAAAACAGGTTAATTTGTAATCAATTTCTAGAGACTTTTTTTAACAAGTTGTGATAGTGTATCAAATATCTTAGTATAGATTTATAAAAATTTGTATGTTTTCACTGGTTACGTAGGATGTATTCTAAAGCCCCGTTGAGCTTACTAAATATAGTAGAATTAGTACTCATGAAATTAATTATCCTAACTGGGAACTTTTGTTTTTTTAGTATATTTTTACACGTATTAATACAAACATTTAAAAACAAGTTGAATCATTTAAATGGCAACTCAATAAATATATTCAACATAATTAGTGTAATGTGGCCACTTAAATTAATTAATCTATGCATAGATCAGTGGTTCTCAACCTTTTTTTGTTCACGACACACCATTTACATCACAAATTTTCGCGGCACACTCATGCACTTGACAACAACAAAAACTTTGGCTACGCGCTAAGATATCCAGTTGGGTTAAAAGCGTACAGTTTAACTACATATGTATCGTATTATCTGCACAATTAATTGACATTTAACTGTCATAGTTTCATCAATCGGTATTTTCAAATATCAGGCATTTTTCACGACACACCTAGTCGATCTCGCGGCACACTAGTTAAAAACCACTAGCATAGATAATTAATAATTTAAAAAAGTTATCATTATAACACAATAAATTATTTTTTCACCAGATGGTGCAAGTTTATTCTATGGCAGGCGTGCCCATTCCACGAAAGAATTCTAACTGGCCTATGATCATTTTATAAAATCAGAAATTTTTATAGGTATAAATAAAGATAAAATAAAAATTTTAATTAAAAAAAATATAAAACAAGCTTTTAAGAACTAAAAATCAAATCAAATTTTACAATTTTTAATTTTATTAAAAAAATTACATATTAGATTTTAGAGTATATATTTAGAAATAAATTAGTATGAAATTAGGGCTTTTTTTTCCTTAAACCAATATTTAGAGTAAAATGTGAAATGCAAATTCCTAATAAGGAGTATAAGTCAGTGACGTATATAGGGGGACCAGTGGGCTACAGCCCCCCTTCCCCCTGTAATGTTTTAAAAAGCTTAAAAATTATTTAAAACGTATGTTATATTTTAATGGTGCTTTATGCTTATTTAGAATTTGCGTTCAACGTCAAATTGTTTTAGAACATTCTGTAAATGAAATGTAGATAAGTACCTACTGTGTCTTGTTAGTAATTTATAGATAGCAGTGATAATTAAACTTTGTCCATAGTAGTCTCTCCCGAATACATTTTTTGTATACGTCACTGGTGTAAGTGTTCATCAGTCAAACGAGATCTTTCTGAACATTTTGCGTAATTCATACAGAAAAACGTTTGTTCACAAATATAAATCGAACCAAATAATGTAAATATACATTGATAATTATTTCATAAATTTGATTGGTGATCAAAGATATTAATAATATAATATATGATGCAATATATAATCGTATCAATTGAATATTTGATCAAAATGAATCAGTAAATATAGCCCGCATTAAAAATGTAAGTTTAGAATGTGACCTATAGGTTGAAAAAGCCCAATATTTTTAATACCTAATTTAGAACATTGTCATATAACTTATTTTTAATTTAAGCAAAAATTCTATAACTAACTAGCTGAACCCGTGCACTTCGAAACCCGTTAAAAATCTTACTTCTCATATGTCTTAAACCAGGGATGGCAAACCTTTTGAACACTGCGTGCCCAAAATTACAATTTTTTTTTTTTTTTTTATAGAGCGTACCATGAAAAAAATATTAAAAATATTATATTTTGTTATATTTTAATTTGATTGTTTAATTAATGTATTAATATAAAAAGGTTAGTTTAGGTACATAATAATAATTATAATGATATTGCTTTGTTAATTATTTATATTATATTATATTATAGGTCCTATAATATTATATATTATATAATAGTAAAACTTTTCGCGTGACATAGATTTGCCATCCCTCTCTTAAACTGTGGTTAAAATCTTTATCTGTGATTATGCTAGCAGTATATTTTTATACATATAGATAGATAACGGTTAAAATGTACTACGTAATAATCTTATAACGATATTCAATTTAGCTTATCATTATGTAATTTTATTCGTTTTATCAAGAAAAGTATTTGAAAAATCAAGTATTTAAGTGAATGATATTTATTGAAGTGCATTTTACACAATATTTTTTGTACTACCTTCTGGTGCGTATGCAAATAAATCTGAAGGTTTTCCGACGCTTGAACATGCCACATACAGCTGTCCATGTGAGCAGTGACGGTGCTAGAGTTTGCGAGGCCCTGGGCAAAATAAATGTTGAGTCTTATAATTTATATTAATAAAATATTTTAAGTTCAGTTAAATCAGAACCGTGGGGCCTTAATTATAATTTAAGGCGCGGGGCCCTGGGCAGATGTTCTTATTGCCCACCTCCTCGCGCCATCCCTGCATGTGAGAAGCATAGATTTTCCAAATTCAGTCCACACACTTGTAGCAATTTTAGAAATTGTCCTTGTGCTTTATTGATGATTATTGCAAAGGTGAGACGCACCGGAAACTGCAAACGTTTGAATTTGAAAATCATATATATTGAAATCATTGGGATCCGTGGTAACAGTAAATTTTTCCGTTTAAAATTGTTGCTCCGATAATGTTGTTCATCAGCTTTTTCACTGAAACTCTGATACCGTTGTAGAGTCATGGTGAATTTATATTTCGTAGAATAATTATGGGCCCGTTAAATTTCAATGTTAGGACGTGCGATGGCATACCTGACAAATCTAGTGAATTTAAGAATTCAGTTGGATACCTATTTGACTACTTCGTCTTGATTCAATACGCAATCGATGAATTGGTACGTTATCGTGTCGCCTGGAATTTCGTTTAGAATTGTGATATTGATTATATTTACATCATAGTTTTTGGCTTCTAATTTAGCCCGTGTACTGAGCCACGCAAAATATGCATTTATATGCACAATAAAATTTCAACACTAGCTTTGTGGAAGCATAAAACGTATTTGTTTCGTACTCTGTTATTTTTGTGACTGTGCACAAAAAAATATACAAATGCTACAAGTCCCCTGCTCTAATTATGAGTAATATTATTGAGTGCAAAATATTTTTGATGTGAAAACATTTTATACAGAGTGGCGCATCTAGCGATTAAGTTGATAAAGTGAAACTTTGGGGGCCTCCTAAAAATGCAAGAGGTTGTTTGGCGGATGAACGATAAAATTTATATTTTTCCTATATTTTACTATAAACATCTACGTACTGCTTTAATAGTTTCAAAAATATGGTGTCTTTGGAATTATTATTTTCAGTTACTGGTACATTACCATTGACTGAATATTCAGTATCCAAACTTTAAGTAACATTTATGAAATAATCATTAAGTATATTACAAATATCAAAATTAGATTCAATAATAATACCATCTTTATTTATAATCTTATTTATTTAATTTATATTTCCTATGATCTCATTTATAATATTCCAAATTTGAAACTGGATTTAAAGCTTTATAATCTGTTTTGATAGTATAGTTGTTTGTATTTTCGCAATAATTAATATTGAAATATAATTATATAAATATTGAATCTGAAATTTCACTATGGGCTGGGCATAGGGTCTCCCCCTATATACACCACTGCAACATACGTTAGGATATGTACCAACTTGATTAATTCATAAGTCATAAAATTGGTATTTAATTTGTTCAAAATTTAACATTATATACAAGTATATTAATACCATTTAACATTAAATTTAATTTAATTTTAATTATTATAATAAACTAAATTTAAATTAAATTATTATAATTATTCATTAAATATGAATTTTTTTCTACTGCACACCAGAAAAATAATAATGAAGACGTTATAAATTAAATTATTCTAATACTAAAGGTAAAAAAAATAAAACTAAGTGTTATTAAAAGTATCCAATAAAATTAAATTTTATGTATTGAAATTTACTTAAATTATAATAAATATACAAGAATTCGGTAATATTTATATTTTAGTATAATTAATCAAACAATTTATTTTTTCATTACTTAAATGTAAACATTTGGTTTGTTAAACAATCCAAAACACAATGAAGTTCATTGAAAAATTTAAGAACCATAAGTACTGTAGTTTAAATTAACTAATGGTAAAGAAAATCTTGCACACTATCTTTTACACAATGTAAAAAAAGTTTTATGAAAAAAAAAACAATGATTAAATCCAGTATTTAGAAAATTTTAATATTACTTTTTTTTAGATATTTGTACACGCAATTAAAATCTTATTGGTCATGATATATTCATCAAATGTCTTTTAGTTCATCGGGCATAATATTTTTTGGATGTTTGTTTTCAAAGTGTTGTTTATATGTTTTAGGATCAGGCATCTGTGCCTGGAAATAAAAATACATAATTATATAATTATAATATAAAATCATTTAATTAACAATTTAATAATGCATTACAATTTACAAACAACATTATTTAAAAGTTACTAAAAATGTATGATAATTTTTTTAAACTTAAATTATATAGAATGTAACAAATTAATCAATCTAAAATTAATTTTCTAACTGTTGAACAATCATTATTAAAAAAATTAATTTTAACTTAATCATACACTTTGAAATTTTAAAGATTAAGTAGTTAAAAAATTAATACATTTGTTTATTTTTAGAAATGCATGTTTTAATTAATAAATATTAAAAACATAAATTATTAGAGTAAAGGTTATCAATTAAAAACAACAGAATTTGATGTATACAGAAAACAAAATGTGTATATTATAAAGAAATAAATTGTATTTATGTATTTATTTGAAAAATAAGATATAGGTAGGCGGTTATGTAGACAAAATAAGAACTATTATATTAAAAGCTTTAATATAATTTTATTTTATTTAATTTTGACTTGAAATGGTTATTTTTCATAACCTTATGAAATGCAATTTTTAAATACTATTCTGTCAATAGTGAAAGTTGTACCTATCAATTTTTATAATAATTTTAATTAAATTTATGGCCAAACACAAATTAACTTAATATTCATACCTTCGAGTAATAAATAACTAGCTATATGCATTAAATCTCTTAACATTAGAGAAAATATATAATTAATAAATACATAAAATATAAAAAGAATATCAAAATTTATCAGACTTGCACCAATATTTGCTGTATCAAAAATAAAAATATGATATAAATTATTCTAACAGTATTGAAGTTAAATAGTATCAATAATAAAATGAATAAACTAATCTTTATTTTGTGTAAAGACACAGCTAATCGTAAAAATTTGATTAAAAAGAATGGTAGGGGATAATGTTTAAGTATTTAAGCATTTTGAACTAACACAATAAATTGTGTCGGCATCAATTGCAAATCAACAAATTCTATAACAGAATGGATCCAGGCCGTCATAGGCCACTTACTTTGCAAATGGAGCAGGCATGAGTTAAGGCCTTCTGTGCGGCTTTCTTCTGTTCGTTGGCACTGTGTCCCTGTTGTTTCTTCATCTTTGCTAGTTTCTCGGCCGCTTTGGCCTGCGACTGCACTTTCTGCTGACCCCGAGCCATATTAGAGATACCTAATGAGGAACAAAAACGTAAACATAAAAATAAAAGTAAACCAGCCCAAACCACCACTCACTTGAATAGGCTTAAATGACCACCACTACAACCTTAACAGAACAGAAGAACACGTCTTGTAGTGTTCGTTAAAAACGTATGTCGTTCGTTCGAATGTCCTCTGTTGTTCAACAATGGATTAAGACGGACCAGAGGTAAAACGGATATTGAAGGAAACAATGTTTAATAAAACGAGTGGCTAATAGTGGGAAATCATACGATCGAGAGGCCAGCCGTCCGATACGATATGGCCACGATCATACGAGTGAACGTGAAAAATTTGTGAAACTGATGCCTGAAAACCTGCCGTCGCACCGTTATCATTTATCACCAAAGGGGACCGAGGAGAGAAAGACCGCCATCACAATCACCTCCATAGTAACTGTGCTCACAGTATTTTTACTCATTGGCCTCGGTCTTAGATTATCGAAATCGTCGTCATAGATTTAATTCTTAACTTATGAAAATATGTTAGTTATTCTATAAATATAAATCACGAATCTTCCGACCCGCCATGATTTACGGTATTCAACTCTGGGGAACATCAAAAAAATCAAACTCTCCCTGGTACGTCAGTAATCTCACACTCCACAATGACTTAAAAATGTTAACACTCATCTTTTTAGCTTCTAGCTACTACAATAAAATTCCACAAAAGTACTATTAACCATACAAATACTCTAATCAGAGGCGTGCCCAGGATCAAAATGTAGGATAGGCCCGGTTATAATTATTTTTGTTTATGTATGTACATAATACACATTATTTTTTTTTTAGAAACTTAATAATATTTTTAAATTGAATTAGAAAAAATGATTATAAAATAATATAAAACAACACAATTTATTCCTCCTATTTGACTTGTTAATAATACTTTAAGTTACATATTAAAAAATAAAATTAAGTTTTTATATAACTGAATAATACCTAAATGAATACAATTGAAACAATAGTTTTTTTAATTATAAGTACATAAAAATATAAAATATAATAATTATTTAGTGAATTGAAGTCTTCGATTTTTCAATTTAGCAAACTCGTTAACAATCTTTGTAGGATCCTGAATTAATTCAAAACTTAACTCCCTCTTAATAGAAATTAACGCTAAATTATGAAGACGTGTAGTAGACATAGATGTTCGTAAATAAGTTTTTATCCTTTTCATTGTTGAAAAACTTCTTTCGGCCTATGCTGAACTTATAGGTATAACTAACACTCGTTCCATGACTTTTTTAATTTCTCCAAATGACTGCCCCATAATGCATATTTCGTTGTAAAAATCTATGATATTTTTACAACTACTGTACATATTTTTTGCTAATTTGCTTTGACTTCTTACTTGGTCAGAGAAATAATTATCATCTCCATAATAATTTATACACTTTAAAACAAAATCATCATTTAAAAAGTTTGTCGATATCGGATTGAATACTGAAATAGCAGTTCAAAATTCTGAATTGTTATTAAATCTTTTTTTTCATTTCATTCAATATATTATCTATTACTGTAAAATACATAATTCGCAATTTTCGAGTCGTAGTTTTATAACATTTTAAGCCAATTGTTGAAGTAATTACATAATCACTTAATGTACTATTAATATTTTTCTGTCTTTTTTCATAATTATCCATAGAGATATTTAAATTTGAAGCCATAATTTGAGCTTTTTATAAAAGTTATTGAAAAATTCATCCGAACGTAAACTTTGAAGCTCTTTTATTGTAGCATCAATTAAATTTAAACACTTAATTATATCAAGAGAAGAAGATTGTAAATGTATTGAAAGTACGTTGATAGTTGATAAAAGGTTATCAAGAAATGTTAAAACAAATAATACGTCAAACGATCGAAATTGGTTTAATAATCCTTTGGCTTCTACGGCCTCTTTTTTTTTTTTTTTTTTTGAGCTACTTGACAGTTGTGATAAAGCTTTAATGACATGTTCAAAACGAATTAAAAAAAATGAATACCTTTATATTTTGCAACCCATCTAGTATTACTATGTTGAGGGACTTTTAAAATTGTTTCACAATCTTTTTGGACATCAGAAAATATTTTATAACGTAAAGTTGAACTCGATTGAAATGCATAAATTACTTCAAGTAATCCAATCGTATTGTCAACAATCTCAACTGATTTAGCAACATCGACTAAAACTAAATCAAGCCGATGTGCATAGCAATATATTTAAGGGCATTTGTTTTTAGAAAGTTCTCTAATATTTACTTGTACGCCATTGGTAGAACCAGACATTACTGATGCACCGTCGTAGGATTGATTTATACATTTTGTAATATCTAAACCAACTGAATTTAAAAATTCGATAATAGAATTAGTTAGGCCTAGTGCATCTTATTCTTCTACTTGTACAAATCCTAAGAACCTTTCTTTTATAGTTAATTTATGTACATATCTGACACATATTGATATTTGTTCAAAAGTTGACGCATCACGAGCTTCATCAACAATTAAACTATAAACCGAACTACCTTCATTCACTTCTCTAATAATAGTTTGTAAAATGACATTTGAAGACGCAAATAAAATATCATTTTGGATTTTATTTGAAGTATATTTAGCATTTTTAGGTAGGGACTTTAAATTTATATTAAACTTTTCATTTTCCAAACATAGTAAATCTAATAGTTCTTTAAAATTACCTTGATTTTTTGTAGTTTCTAAGTCGTGTTCATCTTCATTTGAATATTCGATTACATTATTGTGACCACGTAAACCTATATCCTGTTGTGCGCAATACAAAACTGAACGAATTACACTTTTTAATACTTCTCGATTTTTATTTATATTCTTTTCGACATGACTATTCATTTGAGTCGTAACAGCTCCTATACTTTTTGATGATATATAACCTTGATATTTGGCTAACGATGTTTTATGCGAATCTGCCGAGTTATGTTTTTTTTCCATCCCCGAAATATTTTTCCAATTATTATATCCTGTGGCTATTAAAACATCTTGATGCTTTTCACGAGATATAGAACTAGTAAAATGACGACAAAAAAAACATAAAATTGCATCCAATTGAACAGAATATTCAATCCAAGGATAAACTTTGTACCATGAACTTTGAAAACTACGTTGTTTTTCACAAATTTTACGACGTGGAAAATTGATAATCGGCTGAATAGGTTGTTCATCACTATTTAAGCTAATATTAAGCACATTTAAGCTAGACGAGAAATAGAAGACTTGTTAGAAGTTGAGGTAACATTTAATTTTAACATTTTTGTTTGTGGTTGATCTATTGTACTATCATCATCGTTCAATGTCCTTGTGGGTTTCGAAATAGGTTTAAAAAACTGGCTAATCATATTTTTATTTTTATTTAATTATTAGTCAAGTTATAATCAATATAAAATAAAAAAGTACTTAGGTTATTCTAATAGTGTACAAAAACAGACAAAACGAATAAAACGATTTCCTCGATCGGCTCGGTTACACACAAGTCACTAAAATACGTCTACACAGTACACAGTACACACTGTAATAAACTAACAAATTATTAATACCAAAAAATAACATATTTTGTAAACCATATTCATTATCTTATATCAAATGACGATTGTCGGCAGTGAACGGCCAGTGACGAATGTATAAATAACTCACTTCGGGTGTATTATTGTCTATTATTTACTATTTTTAGCCGATAAGCAGTACTGTGGCTACAATTGTTTGCGACGAAGGAAAGAATTATTAATAACGTATAAACGCTTGCTATAAGTGGGTAATAAATAAATAATCTTTGTTCCAAAATGATTCAATTACATATCGTATTATGAAGCAAAAAAATTTATAAAATTATGTTTCTTGAAAAATATTAATTATTATTATTTGAAAACAGGGTAGGCCTGGGCCTACCAGGCCTACCTGCTGGGCACGCCACTGACTCTAATCTCCCTTCCCTTGCACTCCCAAATGACCCACCACAGCGTCTAAAACACAACTGGTCATGAAATTTATTACTCGATTAAAAAAAAATAAATAAAAATAAAAAGTTAAATTCAATCTCTAAATGATAATTAGTAAAGGCTATAAATTATGTATTCAATTGAAATAGTGTCCCGGGGCATCTCCTTTTATCACGTCATCGTGGATTGTATATACGAACAAAATTACTTAGTGTAAAAAAAAAATAAATCGTATACCTAGACTTGAAGTCGATGTAATTAACTACACTTCAGTGGCATGCCCAGAGGGTAAACCCGGACCTACCCTGTTTTCAAATAGTTATTATAAATATTTTTTACATTATTATTATTTACTTGTTTATATCTTTAAATATTATCAAACAGGAGGAATTGTATTATATTATACTCGTATGATAATTCTTATCTAATTAAATTAAGGAATATATTTATAACTTTATTGCCGGGTACTCGGGTGGGCCAGATCGTCGCTGCCTAGTACCTATATAGCTAGATGGCTTTTTCCTTTTTACCAAAGTTAGTAATACATAAAAAGTTCCATATGACTTATTAAGAAATTCGGTTCTATTATTATAACAATCTTTAGAATATAAATTGATCCACCTGACCTTTTTTACTCAGAATTATTTTATAAAAAGCAATGTACATTGGTATCAAATTTAAAAGACCTATGTAACAAAATTATTCACCCGACCTAGTACCTATGTATGTCACCCGATATAAGATTTTCACCCTTTTTCTAGGTTGGGTTTATCAATTACTTGAAACATAATATTTAGCGAAATAATCAAGAGGAGACAATTATGAGCTTATAATCACCATTTTTTTTTTCATTAAAATATTGATAAACATGATGCACTAAGTCAAAATTGACCCACAGAAAATACCTCTATAATGTATACATACACTCATAGATTGTGCACAAACCCATAGAGGCAACCTGCCTCCATAAAATATGCATAAATCCAAAGAAATAGCATCAATAGTCGTTGACATTGAATAACGAATATTTGTGTTTAGTATCGTCATTGATTAATATATATACAATAAAACTTTTATGTAATGGTCAGCGAAGGGATAATGACTGTTATACAGCGGTCGATCCAAGGGGTGAGCAGAGGAGTATTTACCTCCACCCCTAAAGCCCAGTCAAGTCAGTTAAAGTATGCAATAAAAAAATTAAAATGTATAGTATATAATAAAACCTTAATTTTATTTTATTTAACTTAAAAATACGGGACGAATCCTATAATACAAGAATAAACAATATACAATAATAAAAAATAATAGCATAAGCTCAGAGTAAACAAAGCTCAATTTTAGAGGGAGAATGAAGAGTCAGTGTTGGCAATGCGCTTAAGACGGATGATCGATGAGTTAAGATAGTAGTTTGAGGAGGATAAGGGTATGGGAACGTAACAGATGATCGTGTCCGGTGACGGGATATTAAACGAACACGAGATAGTGATTCGTGACTGTCAATTTTAGAGGAAAGAAAAGTAGAAAGAAATGCAATGTTAACTGAGTGACAATGGTCAGCGAGACTCTCTAGGGAAAGTAGGCGTTGGATTGGTGTGTAGTCGTAAGGTGGACAGGATATATTTAATATGTAAGCAGCGTGACGGAGGAATTTTCTTTGAACCCTTTCAATCATACTACGTGCAAAAGCGGTGGACGGGTCTCAGAGTATGGTTCCATACTCAAGGAAAGGACGAACTAAGGAACAGAAGAGAGTTTTTGATGGAGTAAGTGAAAATTTGAAGAGACACGATTTATGAAGCCAAGCAGCTTAAGAGCCTTACAACAGATTATCTGGATATGTATATTAAGGCACAGGTTACGTATTAGAGTAAATCTTAAATTTTTTGCAGAATTATTGTAAATTTTCAAGGGGTATTGTTGACGGAGTAAGTATAATTTAACACAACATTAATACGACAAAAAGTCATTACTGAACATTTAGGAATATTAAGAGCAAGTCCCAAATTTCATCCCATGACACTAATCAATGAAGGTCGTTTTGGAGTAGATGACAGTCAGAAATGGATTTGATACGGAGGAAGATTTTCATATCATCAGCAAATATAAGGAGTTTGGCATGTTGAAGGACAGAAGCAGCTGAGTTAACGAATAAAGCGAACAGAAACGGAGAAAGAACAGTACCTCGTAATACACCTGATGAAGGTGTAAAGTGGCCCGAAGAGGTGGAATCAACAATTACCTATTGGATCCTGTTTATAATATAAGAGCGAAACCAGGAAGGTAGGGGTTCACCTATGCCTACAGAGTTAAGTGTTGACATAAGATCATTATGATCAACACGTTCGAAGACCTTGGAAAAATCTGTATAGATTACATCTAATTAGCAGTTATCGTGGAAAAAATCAAAAATATATGAATGAAGGCTAAGATTACAAGTAACAGTTGATTTACCAGGATGGAAGCATGCTGCTCATCAACTAGGATATGATTTAAGGAAGAGCGAATCAAGTTAAGGACAAGTGTTTCAAATAATTTGGATAAATGTGAAATGATACATATTGGAAGACAGTTTGTGACATCTGTAGAATCATCTAACTTCAATAATGGTCTAATTGAACCTAGTTTAAGAGCAAACGGGAAGATGCCTGAGTCAATAGAACGCCTAAACAATAACCATAACGGTTCTGCTATAACAGAACGAAGTTTGTACAAAAAGTTATCCTGGATACCATCTGGACCAACAGACTTTATATTACTAAGGCTACATAAGCATAAGTAGACGTCACTAATCAAAAAATGGACATTTAACGGGAGCGGAAAGTTATTGATAGGATGTAATGTCAGATATGATGACTGTAAAGGCTGGGTGAACACAGAAGAGAATTGTGTAGCAAATAAGTTAGCTGTATCAGAAGAAGTTTTGCTCTGTATACCATGGAGTGTAACACATGTAGGTATAGGATGGAGAAGAGCGGTTTTTTTCTAATGAAACTCCAAAAATATTGAGGGTTACGCAATAGGGAAGATTCTGTACGAGAGACAAAGTTACGGAAGCATTGTTTGGAAATAAATTTGAATTTAGCGTGAAGAAGTGAAAAACGTAAGTTTCCGTAAGAGCAATAAATACATAGTTAAAACATGAGGTATTAAAATTGAAATTAACATGTTTGGTAAGAAGGCCGTGACAATTCTGATAGTATCCATTGATGTTGATAGTGGTGGAAGTATTGATGTCGGTTAAACTTGAGAGTGTTGATGGACACGGACATCGTTTTTTTGAACGGAAATCACGCACGGAGAACCATTTTTGAAAGTGATGGATATTATAACAAAAAATTATCTTAGGTCCAGGAAATTTAATTAAAATTATATTTTCTTTTATGAAATATTTATAAAACTTATATGGCTATGAAACAAATTTCTATATAACTATGTATTGGATGATTATTGAAAAACATGCCAATTCTTAGAAATTCCTAGCCCTATACTAATATTGGATTAAACTAATGTTGTATATTTTTTTTACACTGGTGTCTAACTTGATCAAATAAAACTTTTTTAAAAAATAACTGTATAATTTCATAAATAATTTTGATAAACTATGTACTTATCATTTCATATTTACTTTTCTGTAATATATTTTATCTTATATTTTGACCATTATATAGAGTGTCCACTATAAAAGACATTAACATATTTTTCCCATAGTATTTGATAGTTCCAAAAAAAAAAAAAATGGCAATTACACAGAGAACCATCTTTTAGAGGTGAACGCTAACGGATGTTTTACTGCGTATAATTAAAAATTATAATCTTTATTATGGCATGACTTTAAAACTAATCATCCAAATTGGTGTAATATTCTTTAAATTATAGAGAATATAGTGAAGTAGGTTTTAGATAAAAATTTCAAAGTCAAAAATATTTTCACTGCCAGTTTTATTTAGAAATAACACCAAGTTTGATTGCCATCAATACATTATTTTTTTTGTCAATAAAAGTTGTTGAAAATTTATTTTTCTTGATTGTGTTTAACAATTTATTATAATAAGAATTTGTGTAGCAAAATATCTGAGGGGAGAAAATCTAACCTCGGTAGTTTGAAAAATATTCCCAAGACGATGAGCTTATATAGAAACAATCATGCACATGATAATGATCAAAATATTAATAGAAATAACAATAATGATGACATCATCAATAAAAATGATAACAATATTTTAAATGTGTCCAATTTTCTATTGAGCTTAGCTCTATCAAGTCCATTAATAATAGTACAGACAGACACTAAAAGTTCCTGGCGAAGGCACAATTCAGCAATTCAACATACATTAGATATAAGATATTTAATTATATATATATATATATAACTCACTTTAAAAAATGAAATCAATTAAAGAGAAATATTTCTCATTTGCAGAAGAACAGTTATATTTAATAATTTTTAGTTATAAAAGTATATTATATAGTATAAAATTAGACATTTTTAATACTAAACCCCAAAATTAAGTTTTAAACATCTTAATACAATTGTGCAAAATATCTACTTAAACAAATATATAAATATATAAGTATTTTATTATATAAATCAAAGAAAACATTATTTTAAATATAATATATGAGTCACAATTTTTTACTAATATCAACTTAAATTAACAGAGTTTCTTTTTAAATGAATAGCTAGTAATATTACTTAGGACGTTATATTTCTTTAAGTAACAATAAACACATATTAGCAATTTTATATGATAAAATATAATGTTTAAATAAATGTTGAAAAAATATAAAAAAAGATTTTTGATTTAATAAACTTGATTTATAAAAATGTAAGGAACTCTTTATAACTATATAAATAATAGCATAATAAATATTAGAATATCACATAAATTAATCAAATAAGTTATATATTATATGAGAATAATTAAAACCGAAATTCTTATGTAATTGTATTTATAACTGCTTGTTTTTTTGCAAATGCTATAAATACTTGTTCGAGTGTTGTGTCACTAACAGTGTAGTCTTCTACTGCTTGGTAATTTTCTTTTATAGCTTTCATCTGACCAAATATTTCTGACAATGGTATCTGTGGATTGGTTATGTGATAATGCAACAATCCCTGCAACACAAACACAATTAATTCATCATAAATTCAATTAAATAATAATATAATTAGTATATTGATGTTTCTATCTCGGTAGCCATGAATAAAATACACCAATAGATTGATGTTGACTCTTTTCCCGGCTCAATGGCTAGGCAACTCAACCCTCAAGCAACTTCCACTTCAAACAATGCGAATCCGCTCCATGTTATTATTTTATCCAACTCTAATACAATCATTGGTAACTTAAATCAGGGCACCGTGGCTAAATTGAGTCCAAAAAAAGGCACAGTGGAAAAATAAGTTTGGGAACCGCTGGCATAAGATAAAAATTAACTTAAATACACTGTTTAATGCAAATGATTGCTTCCATGTTAGGAGAAAAACGATTTTAATTCCGCCATTCCAAGCTCTATCATATAATCTTGGGGTCATTCGCCTCAACCTATGTGTCTCGGATAAAGATTTTCGTGAGGGGTTAAAGTGTTGCTACGAAGTAGTGTCGATTTTTGTCGTATCAACGTCAAGCGAGGTAACATTCTTGTTCCACCTTAACTAGTTGAAATCAAATTTCTCTCACTAAAACTTCCGGATCATAGCATATTTAAACACATTCATTTTGTTTCTCCCAGTATTTGCTCACCAGTACAATTCATGCGTTGCCTCCGGTTCGGCCACACACAAGTTTTGTCGTAGTAAGCAACGGTGTAGTCACTGTGACGATTTATACCATCGAAACATGTGAAAATCGTTAATCAACTTCGCTACAACGCTTTAATTGTAAGTTAGACTCCATTACCACCGATCGAGCATGTTCCGAGCAGTCCACCCAAAGAGTAATTAAAAGATTAATGGCTGTCGAAAACAAATCTTTCTCTGAAATCCCTCAAATCAAACAGTCGGAAACCGTTTAAAAGGGCCACACCTACCCTGATTTTTTTAATAATAATTTAAATTCACTCTTTGTACAGGTTGCCAGTTCCATCTTCTTTCAATCATCTTTCCCTCTTCTTTTTAACTCCCAACCAAAAAAGAAAAATTTCTATTCTAAAAAATCATATTTATCGCAATTCACTCACTCGCATGAACCTTCAATTACTCTCAAAAAGGAAGTTTTTCAAATTCATTGACCAATCTGTCCCTACTACTTCAAATTCTAATTTTATTGAATCTCTTACTGAACAAATCAACCAAAAATCTTTTGCTGATTAAATTAACTCTCCAACCACTCTTAAGTCTTTAATCGGGTCTTCTATTTTAAATTCTTATCCTTTAGCACTGATGATGATGAGACATACTAAGAATCATCTTTCTACAACTTCTCATTTTCCGATTAACTTAAAAGATCACTACAGAATCCTTCAATAAAATGTCAGAAGCATTCAATCTCGCCTCGGTCTTCCATTAGAAAGGATACGTTTTCGCACTTCTTCCTGAAACCTGGCTCCGACCCGGTCTAAAGTTCACTCTAGCATCTTTTAATTTAATACGATCCATCCAAATCGATGGTTACGGAGATGTTGCAATAGCCACCCATCACCCAATACAAATCAAAGAAATTCCTATTACCAATACATTAAAAAATGATTTATTTTACCATTCAATCGATCTGGTATGTATTCAGGCGTTCTTTAACACCGAAAATTCCCTTAATCTATGGTCTTTATACATTTCCCCTCCTTTCACCAACCTTTCTATTGCTACATTCAATATTATATTTCAGCTCATTAGCTCTGCCTCCAATTCAAGTAGAGACTTAAACGATCACCATACTTTTTGGGACAATTAAAACCTTCATGGAGATTCAATTTACATTTCCATAAATAACCTCAACTCAACTTCGGGATACTCACGTGCATAAACGAACCCCTTTTCTCTAACATTGCGGTTGACATTACGGTTATGACTACCTCAATTTTCTAGTCTCTTCTTGATGAGCCTGATGACAGCGATCATTTTATATAACACCAATGCTCTCGTCTTCAAATCATTCAAGTACAACAACTGTTCCCAAATTGACATTTTTCAAGGCCTCTCTTTTCATCACATTTAGATTAATTTATCGACTCCTATTCATTCTTTAATTCCCCTTTAGATAATTATGATAATTTCATTGCTCTTTTAACCACCGCTTCTAATTACGCTGTTCCTGTTAAACCGAATATTCCAAATTCTTATCTACCTCGCCTATATGATGAAATCCATCTTGTTCCAATGTAATCCAAATCCGTTCCGATACCTTAAACATTCAGATCTTCCGGTTCCACTCGTGACATTCTTCTTTACCAAAATGTTAACTCAAAATTCCTGGATGAATTTCTGTTCAACGCTTAACTATTCAACATCTATGAGCCACCACCAAAAGGTTTAATAATTGTTTAAACCATCTTTACTTCGCTCAACGAGGACTAGTTTTTTTCATTTTATAATCCGATATCTCCTCCTTATGTTCCTTTATTTGAGGAATCCTTCCCTCAAGCCTTACCAATACCAAATAACCTCGACCCCAATCATCATATTCTCTCAGTGCTTTTCAGTCCTAAAGAACTTTCTTCTGTAATTTATTCATGTTCTTCATTACCCTCTGGCCTGGACGGATCTCAATCGTTGTCCTTTAAAACATCTACAACTGAGCTTCTACCCGTATTTTAAATATCCTTAATTATATCTGAGTTTTAGGTACTATACTTGATTCCTGGTATCAATACCAAGTCACTCCTATTCCTAAGTCCAACTCTACTTCTACTGCTCACAGACGTATTGCCTTATCATCCACTCCCTCTCTCCCTTAATACTCATCATTAAATCCCTAATTTTCATAATAATCACATTGATAAAGCCGGCAATGAGCTAGCTAATCACCTAAAAATTTCCACAAAATTCTCCAGATATCTTTCCTTTTCTAAAATTCCTATTTCTGATCTCCTTACTCTCCATCATAAGCTCCTCCGCAATGCTTGACAATCTACTTAATCCTCCTTACCACATAATTTCGCATCACGGCACAGACATGTTGCCCTTATAATACCTAGGTTTCCATGGTTCAGAAAATTTAATATTTCTAGATGTCTGATCGTAGATTTTATCCGTCTCCATACTTGGCACAGCTTCCTCTCTCACCATTATTTCAAGCTTGCGCTTAATTCTTCTCCACTCTGTACTAGTCCTCACGATGAATTGATATGCGAATTAAATTACATTTTATTTAACTGTCCTTCCCTTCTTCCTAGCAGACAACTTCTTTTTTTTTATTCTTATCTTCCTTTGACTATACAACTCCCAACTCTAATTGTATCCTTAACTCCCGCTCAATTTCTACCATTCATGGCAATGTTAATTTAATCAATTCCTGTGGCTACCTGATATGCTTACATTTTTTTTTTTTTTTTTTTAATTGTTAACTGCTTAAATACTATATATAATTAATCTAATTGCATCGCTTTAATGTTTATGACATAGGCAGAAAAATAAAATAAATTTCTTAAATAGGATTATTATGTAATTTGAATTTTTTATGTAAAGTGACACTAAAATAAATTTTAATATTATATAATTTCCAACTGCTGTGAACTGATTGGCATAAAAATCCTACGTCTGGTTTACCATAATTATATTATAAAATACAAGTATAACAAGCATAGCAAAAATAGTACAAATAACATAATATTACGTTCATACTTAAATTCATATCATATGAATAACTTAATTTATAATCAACTGCTATACACTCATATTTACAATTGTTTTTGATTGAAGTAAATTATTAACATATTTTGTAATAAATAAATTATTAATACTGTTTGTAAAAAAAAAAAAAAATAATAAAAAAAAATTTATCTTACTTTATGTTCATCTTTCAAAATTATGTCAGGAGCAAATTGACGTTCTATATCAGCTTTCAATTCACCTACATTTAAATCTTCACTAGTTTGCAGTTTTATCATTACTGTAAAACCTTGTCCATATCGATTTTTTAAATACTGTATATTACCAATACATTTCATAACACCATCAACCATAATAGTTAAGCGATTGCAAAGTGCTTCACATTCATCCATACTAATATGGTAAATAAATTATTACAACAAAATACTTCAAATACTTCATCTACTATGCTCTAGATACTTACCTATGAGATGTAAGTATAACTGCCTGTCCACCTCTTTGACTAGCAGCTAATAATTGCCATAAATTACGCCTAGCAACAGGGTCTACTCCACTAGTTGGTTCATCCAAAAATACAACTGGAGGATCTCCTATCAGTGCCATAGCTGTGTTTAATTTTCTCTTATTACCTCCACTGTATTTTCCACAAATTCTATCTTTAAACTCTTCAAGCCCTAAAATAATTATAATGTAATGTAATTATCATGTACTGAAAAAGTTAAAAAAAAAGAGAAATTATTTATTTATGTCTAAATTGGTTTAATAGATTTAATTTTACATTAAAATGTATTGTTTTAAAAGTTTTTATATTTTATGGGAGTAGTAAAATCATTGTTTACAAACCAGGACTTTAAATATGTATACTTGTACCTACCCAAACGTTTAATCCATTTATCAACATGTTTTTTTGTCTTTAATGGTGATATTCCTCTTAAAATAGCCATTAATTCCAAAGATTCTTTTCCAGTAAGTTGATCATTAATCGCATCAAATTGAGGACAGTAACCAATCATTGACATGTACTATAGAAATAAAATTCAGAAAATAAAAAACAATTTTTAATTTAAATTATATTTAATATTTATACCTCATTCACATTTGAGTTAAGTTCGTATATTTTATCTGTTTGAATAGAAGCATTGCCTTTGGAAGGAAATATATCTCCAGTTAAAATTCGAAAAGTAGTAGTTTTTCCAGCACCATTTACACCCAGTAATCCAAAACATTCACCAGGTGAAACAGTAAAACTTATACCACGAACACCAGTAAATTTAAAACTAAACTTCTTAACCAAGTTATCAACAAGTAAAAGTGGTGACTGCGAAGCAGTATCTAATAAAAATAAAATTATAAATATTAATTAAAGCATTATCTATGATTAGAACATATGAATTTATATCATTAATCAATAGTTTCCAGGTGAAAAGTTAAAATTACTTGAATGAGATTTAGCAGCATCCACTTTATCTCTTTCACCTCCAATATCTGGATCTTCATTTTCGTCTTTGTAACCAATACCAGAGCCAATAATTTTATTAAAGCCCAACTGGTATATGCGCGCAAAAACTTTATAATCAAATAATAGTATTATGACTATATAAATTAAACTGCTAAAAACTAAGAATAATGTTTCTTCCAGAATGCCAGATGGATTTTCGTTAGATTTGAATACAAAATATTTTTTTGGTGTAGAATCTATAATACCTAAAGTGTAAGATTAAAAGATAAAAAAAAAACATTAAAAATAAATAAATAAATAATCACTTACTACTACATGCTTCTATCATATTGGGCGATTTACAAATTTTACACCTGTTATTTTCCCATGATATATCAACAAATCCTGATATACATGCTGAATATGAGAAATGAGGAATAATTAAAGTTATAATCCTAAATATATTCCAAGCATTATAGGGATTTATTTGATTCTTTTCTCTTATGATGTCTTTGACAAGAAACATTGCACTATTTAAAAACATCCCTGTAAAATGTAATTAAAAATATTACTGATAAAGTAAAAAATATAATTAAATTTAAAAAAATTATAACCTAATATAAAATTGATTGCTACGAATAATAACATAGAGCTGACCAAAGATTTTTTGAAAAAACTATACACATATGCATAGAATATGGCACTCCATCCGTATAATAGCATTATAGTTATAAGAGCACCTGCAAACATTACATTTGAATTGTAATTAGATATTTTTTTTGGATCAACTTAAAAACTCACCAAGTTCGTTTGGGCCTGTGAATATGTGATCATAATCAAAGAAAAACATAGCTATTATAGTAAGTATCACAACAACTATAAAACAAAAATAGTCCCAAATGAAACAAGCAGCCCAATACACAATTGGAGAAAGCTTAGTCATCATTTGCAAATGTTTAATTCCAGATAGTCTTTCATTTAAAGGTAATGCCATAAAGTAACCAATTAAATACAGCAAACCCGGGATAAAAATGGTAAGCCAAACAATTACTATTTGTGTTCCAAATTCTTCATCACAAACATTCTGAAAAAAATAATTATAAGAAAACCTTAAATTTATATAAAAACTAATAAATGTATATAATTGTATGGAAGGTATGGCATTTAGAACAAATTAGTCTCAGTAACAATACTATTTTAAAAGAGAAGATGTAAAAATAAAGGTGACTACAAATACTCAATTACAATTTTCTCTTTTACATTGTACAATATCACATGGAAATGTACTAAGTATATTTCTAAACATGTACCATAAATCTCTAAGAATATAGTTAGTAATAACTACAATATAAAGAATATCAAAAACAATAAAGAGCATTATAATAAAATTTCTTAAATCAATAGTATTTAAAATAATTTAAAAAAACTGACAAATAAATTACTAATTTAATTATGCAAGTTTAATAGTTTTTTTTTAACAATAAACCAAGAGGTAAGAGTACAGTAATCTACATAGAAATATAAAGCTGATATGTTAGTTAATAGGAGTTATATTCGAGATAAAACTGGCCTCAATCTAACTGATTAGTTAAATAACACATTACAATATTTTAAAAATATTATATTATTAGAGGGTCCATGTCGCGCAATTGAACATGATGCAAGATTATTAGTTTGATTTCCAGCACAATGGATATATTTTTGTGCCATCCATTCAATTCCTTCACTTTTTAAATTACATTGTTCCCCCTAGGAACTACTACATGAGAATTAACGTATATATATATATATATATATATATAGACATATACATATTTCTCTTCATGGTGAGAGGAATAAATCATAGATTTATTTCCAAAAAATAATTATTAATAGACCTCAGGATCAAAAAAAAAGTTGAAGGAAATCTTTTAAATCAAAAAAGAAAAATTATACACTTTTTTTTTTTAATTATACATTATAACAAGTTGCTCTATTATTGTATACTCATTTGTAGAGTAAAATATTATTAATAGTCATAATTTTAATTTAAATATTACATTACCTCATGCTCCTGAATTTCAATTGGTTCATTAATAGTTGCAATATATGATTCAGAGTTACCAGATAATTCTTGTAATAAAGCATTTGAATAAAGATTTACAGCAATACCTGGTGAGTGAATAGCTATATTATTGTATATAACAGTAGAATTTGTTTCATTAAAGTCGCCAGCAATTAAAAGATTTGTTCTATACTTGACTACATCTTCAGAACACATTTTTAATAAATCTATAAACAAAATAATTTATTATTAATATGCATACATAAAAAAATTAATTTAACATAATTATGTTAAAAATTTTAAATTTTACATATACTATGTGTAACGGAATACTTATCTGACACTTTAATATTAAATAAAAAATATTTATTCTAATTAATTGTTATAAAAAACTTATAACATATTTAAGCTTAATTATTATAATGGTACTAAAATAAAAGTTAAAATATTGTTAATTTTTTTGTTTTCAAATTATTTAGCTTAATAGTTTTACTAAAAAACCCATAAAAAAACAACAAACAAAAAACAATCCATTGAATTTCCAGAAAATGTAGCCATAATTATCTAAAATATTGTTTTAGATCACTATGGCTTGAAAAAAAATGGTATATTACAAAATTTTTTTTAAAAAAAACACTATAAAATTGATAAAAAATCAAATTGATTACATGATCACTCTTCTTTTATAATTTTAATGGATTTTTAATATAAAACTCATAGTTTAAATAAATATAATACCCTGTTAACGAATCAAAAATTAAATCAATATGAAATACATTTTATCATAAGACTATACATAATTATTGATTACATTGATTATTATATAATAGAATCTATCCTATAATAAATACTAATATTTAAAAAACATAGTGGCTAAATTATTTTACATATCTATTACACATTTTTATTAATCTTACCATAGATAATATTATTTGTTGATGGTGCTTCAATTACATTAGCTTTATTTTTCTTTGAAATAGTTACAAATTTTGATTCTAAATTTTTAGAAGATTGGTCACCAGCACGGTAATATACATCAGTATTCATATAGGAACTTAAGGATAAATTCAACCCTAGAGGACCACTAGATACTTTGAATAATGAATAAGTAGATCTTATTACCAATATACCCAACAAAATAGGTCCAATTCCCTGTATCAAAATAAAAATAATAATTAGGTATAATGGATAATATATTTTTTTTTGTTTTATACAATGAAAATAATACATACAAAAACTAGTGTCAGAAGCCATCTTCTACAAGAATATAAAATTTTTTTTTTTAACAAAACTTTAACTTGATTTTTTAATAAGGTTATTCCACTAGTATATTTTGGCATTAATGCTAAAAATAATAATAAAGTAATAAATTAGAACATAATTTAATAATAATAATAATAATAATAAATCTATCCGTTAATTTAAAAATACAAAACATATAATTTTAAGTATTATCATTGATAGTGGTATTTTAAAATTTAATTAATTATTTAATTATTTATTGCTTTTATAATATTTGATTTTTATTTTATAATATTTTTTTTTTTTTTTTTAAATAATTAATATATATTACAAATAAAATGTTATTAACACATAATAAAAATAAATAGTTGATTTGACCAACAAAAATCATATATTTTTAGTTTTAACTAACTTATATATAAAAAATAGAGATTATCACATTAAATTTAAATTTAATATTTTCTAACTAAATATATATAAATTCATAGTTTTATAAAATATATAAATTACTTTGTGTGACTTCATTATAAGATGGCTCTTTGGGTTCATCTCCATCATCTAAATTTGTAGAACTAAAAGTAAAAAAAAATAAAATGTTATCAGTTAAAAAATATTGAAAGGTATTTATATGTGTATACAATTTTAGTGATTTAATTACATAGATTAGCTAAATTAAAATTAAAATAAAGAATTATAGTGACTATAATTTAATTTGGGCAAATATAATAACTGTATATTTTGAATTTTAATTGACAATACATAGCATGTGATAATTTATAATTCAAGAACTAAAACACAGTGAAAGATTTTCATTAAGGACAGATAAGGTAAGGATTAAGGAATGAAAAGCATACAATGTAGATACTTCTCACCACTGGTTATTGAAGACACCAAGTTCACTATTCAATGTTGAATTCTTACTACTGTTTATCCTACATTAATGTTTACATATTTTACAGCCGTATAAGTTTTACAAGGTTAAATGAGTTAAACAAATTATATACAATTAAAAATACTTACTTTGGATAAATATCACCTGTAGTTGGATTAGTTATTTTGACACTTATTAATTTGAAATTTTGTTTTTGGAATTCAAGAGCAGAAAATAAGGATCCAAATTGATTTCTTTGTTTAGCTGGTAAGTTATATACAATTTGAGTTTCTAAATTGGCCATCAATGTAGATTCAGGTACATATTGATGTACTAAATTAGTTACTAGGTCTACATTGCAATCAACTTCTTTAGTTATAATCAACTGACAACTACTAGCATCTAATGGTGTATTGGGCGATGATAATTCACCATCATCATCATCTAGAATATTTTTTTCAGCTCTAAAAAAAATACATTTTATATAAATTATTTGGCTTGTATTGATAAATTTAACAAGTTATGAACAGTTATATTGAACTATTTAATGTAAAAAATATTGATAAAAAATATTAATAGTGCTAAAAATATATCATATGATCTTCTAGTGAAGCACGAATATAATTAATTACTTCAAAAAAACTTCTTCCATTGTTGTACAGGATACACCCATTCCTTTTATACAAAATGCCTTTCTATTTGTTTCTAGCATTCTAAATAATTCTGGAAACTGATCAGCATTTTCATTGGGTAAATTAATTACTAACTGAGCTGTCAATGAACTTTGAATTTCCGCTTCAGGTATAATTTCTTTAATTGCTGCAAAAATGTTATGTTCTGCACATTCTGCATCTTTTACAATAGTCAAATTATAACCAGTTCCTGTTTGATTTAAAATTTATTTTAAGTTTTATAATAATTAATTTTAACTATCGTCCATTTATACCATATGCTTTTTTTAAAAACAAAGATGTGCCATAACATTTAACTTTTCCATGGTCCATAATAGCGATTCTATCACCAAGGACATCAGCTTCTTCCATAAAATGTGTAGTAATCAAAATAGTTCTTGATCCTCTAAATGACTAAAATAAATAAATACAGTGTTATTGTTTTTTCAATACTTAATAATATACCAAATTTATGTGTTAATATATTTTCAATATTCAAAATTTGAGATTATGTTTATAATTGAATTTTATTTTTAATGTTAACTTTATTTATATTTTTTATTATTGATTATTTATATATGATCATAAGTATTCAACTAAACTAAGTATTCTAATATCTATACCTAAAAAAGCAACAGTTGATAAATGTAATGAATTCAAAACAATAAGTTTAATGATACACTTGGCCAAAATCATAGTTAAGATAATATGCAATCAAATTGAGAACAAAGTAGAAAAATAACTAAGCAAATACCCATTTAGGTCCAGGAGGAGCAAAGATACTAGAGAATCAATCTAAGGTTCAAGAAAATTGGTAGAAAAACAAATAGAATTTAGTAAAAAAAACATTTATAGCGTTTATAGATTGGAAATCTTTTTTAAAAGATACCATGAAAAAATATATTTTATACTTTAGAAAGAATAGGAGCTGACTACAAAGATAGAAGGATAATATATAATTTATATAAAGATCAATCAATAAAAGTAACTGACAAAACAGCAATAATTAATCTATTTTATAGAATAATAAAAAAGAAAATTGAAGGTAAAAGAGACCAAGGACATCAGAGAATCACATTTGGCGAGCAAATGATTTCCATGCTAAATTTTGAAACTATATAAAATTAAAAAGGTTAGCTGGAAGTAGGAAAGAGTGGAGAACACATGTTTGACTACGAAACCAACCTGGGTTGAACATAAAAGAATATAAAAAGGAGGAAAATTTACTAAATTGAATGGGCTGACTTATAAATTAAATAATTTATCCAAATATGAAAACCATAAAACTATTAAACATTTTGGGATATTACAATCTAGAAGAAACGAGTATAATAGAAAAATCCATTCTTTGATCCTCTCAATGAAAACAAAAAATATTTGCTGTACAATTAATTCTTATACTAACTACATACCAAGAGTAAATCCCACATTTCTCTTCGAGATTCTGGATCCATTCCTGATGTAGGTTCATCTAAAATTAGTATCTATAACCAAATAATTAAAAAAATATTTTAGTAATACATACATTTTAAATTAAGATATAATAAAATTACTTTTAAAGTTTAATTTAATATAGCTTCATTCATTTTATAATATATAGATATACTATGCAATAGGTTTCTTTGGCAATCAGTGGAACATAAAATTATATATTATATTTTTTATTTATTTATATAAATCCCCCACACGTGTCGACTAAAAAGAAATTGGTGTCGTGATTTATTAAATGAATTATCCAAAAAATTAAAAAAAAAAATATATATATATAAATACAATTAGGTAGTGCCTTCACTGGTTGACTTCTTCCCTCATGATTTCATGTACAAAATATTATATCACATATTCTTATTGTGCCTAATGGGTACAGATTGTATATATCTTGTTAAAATTAAAAAATAAATAAATGAATTTATATAAATTAGAAAAATTATACAAATTTATCATAACAAATGGAACCCCCTAAACACAAAACAATAATCAAATAACCTTGTTGCAGCAGTTCTGAAATACCGACTAAAGGTTTTGAAAATTTTCTTGTAACACTTGATAGATAATTCTCTTTTTAACTCAATAAAGGGTAATTGACAGATGCAGATAATTACAATGTTTTATTAAATATAATTTACCAATAAAATGGATATTCACATATGAAGTTTTAGCAATTAACAGAGAAGAATGGAAGTCTATTTTTCGCTAGTCAAGGCTAGTCAAGGCTTTAAAAAATTCTAATGGTTCAGAACCAGTGTTCTATAGCAGGGGAGTATTTATGGGAGGGGGCTGATGGGCCTGCACCCTCTCTGAAATTTTTGTATAACATAGAAAAATCTTCCCAAATTACTCCACTATCCGAACTGATCACCCTGATCGTACAGCCCATGGCGGAGCAGCAATTTTTATACGTAATAATATCAAATACAGTATTAGCCCTCCTACTGCTAACCAATCAATACAAAGAGCAAGCATCCAATTGAACATTAACAACACAAACACTACCATTGTAGCTGCATATTTCCCTTCCTCAAATCCAATCAATGAAATCATCTTAAATGATTTCTTTTCTTCTCTCAATAAAAACTTTGTTATAGGAGGTGACTTCAATTCTAAACACCCCTGCTGGGGAAACAACATCACTGACACTCGAGGACGCAACTTACTCAAATTTATAACAAATTCCAACCTATGTACTATCTCACCTCTACATCCCACCTACTGGCCCTCTCATCAAAACCAAAATACCGATATTTTCGACTTTTTCATAGTTTCAATCCCCCCAACCATTCAACATTCAATTCTAAACATAAACGAACTTTGCTCTGATCATAGCTGTGTTACTCTCCTTAAATACAACTACCCCCACCAATGTCAAACCTAGCCTAGCTAAAGGTCCCATATCCTGGACAAAATTCAAAGATATCTTAGATAATAAAACAATTCTAAAAATACCACTAAAAAACACACACAATATCGAAGTAGCAGCTCTCAAAATAACAGATAACATCCAAAACGCTGTCTCTAATTCTTCGTCCAACCCTAATAAATCTACTAAATCTAATAATATCCCAAAAATCCTTAAAGAAATGTTAGCCCAAAAAAGAAGAGCAAGAGCCAGATGGCAATCAACTATACACCCTCTGGACAAACACGCACTCAACTCTATTTCTAACAGATTAAAAAAAGAATTTTATAAAATTAATTTATTTGTTTGGGGTAATAATTGGTTACAAAGTTTGACTGGTGGACAATTATTTGGGCGAAGGGAGAAAGTAATGTGGCTAGATTTGTTTGTATTAATTTTTATTTTCCATAGTGTGAACCAGTTTTCGAGTAAGTTGAGGTGGTGTTGGAGTTTGAAGCTTGTTATTGTGGGATCAGAATCGGTGGCTAGGATACAAGTGTCGTCGGCAAAAATATTGAGGATGGTGCAAGAGGTTGTAGGTATATCAGCAGTGTAAATTAAGTATAAAAGAGGAGAAAGATCACTGCCTTGGAGTACACCGGCGTTAATCATAAATTGGTTTGAAATTGAGTTGTTTAGATTTACTTGGAAAGAACGATGAGTGAGATAGGATTTGAGTATTAAATAATATGGGGCTGGAAAGTTTGTTTTTAGTTTGTGGAGGAGTCCGTTGTGCCATACTTTGTCGAACGCTTGAGCGACGTCGAGGAAGATACCCGAGCAGTATTTTTTTTGTTCAAGAGAAAATGAGATGACATCGGTGAGATGATGCAGATGGTGAACAGTAGAATGGTGAGCTCGAAAGCCGTACTGTGAGTTAGGAATGATTTTATTTATTTCGGAGATATTTTGGAGGCGTTTTAATAGAAGTTTTTCAAATAATTTACCCAGGGATAGGAGGCTGATTGGACGATAAGAAGATGTTGAATTTATGGGTTTGCCAGGTTTGTGTACTAGTATGATTGTTGAAATTTTCCAGAGTGGTGGAAAATAAGAAAGTCTGAGTATTGCATTGAAGATGTGGGTTATGTTCAGAATTGCTTTATTTGTAAGTTGTTTGAGTATATTGTTTATAATGAGATCGTGTCTAGGGGCTTTTCCATTTTTTAGTTTGCTGATTGTATATTTAATTTCATTTGGAGTGAAGTGTTAGGGAGGTGTAGAAGTGGATAGAGCGCTGATTAATGATTGGTTGATTTCATTTAAATGGTTAATAGGCGGGTTAATGTTATTAGATTTAAATACTTCGTAAAAATATTCGGCAAATGTGTTCGATTTTTCCAAGTCAGATATGGCTAGCTTGTTGTTGGGTAGATTTATTGGCGGGATAAGTTCTTTGAGTTTTAATATGTTTTTTGTTTTATGCCAGAGGGAGCCGTTAGTTGATTGAAGTTCGGTGATATTATTTTCATAATAATAAAAAAAAAAAAAAAAAAAACGAAGAAAATTACAGTATTTGTATCTTATCCACAGACATCACATTGTAAAAGTCTGTGACCCTATCATTGATTAAATGTATACAGAAAAACAAAATTAATCTATAGATATCAATCTACATGTTGTACATTTAATAATAACAATAATTTTTATAGGATATGGACTGATAAGTACCTTCATCTAGTGCAGCTGTTTAAAATATCAAAATATGTTGATCTATTTATAGCTTAAGGGTAATTTGGTTAATTACAATAATTTAATTGTATTATTACAATTACATTGATTATAATAATTTGTCAACTGTATTCATTTTTATATCAATATATATAATTTGAGTGAATATATATTAGCTATATTTTTAAATTTTCAACAGCCCCCCTCCCCTGAAAAAACTGGATACGCGCCTGTCCTATAAAATAGCTCAGTTTAAATAGTCAAATCAATGGTATTAATTTATTACTTACTTCAGGACTGCCAACTAATGCAATCGCCAATGATAACTTTCTTTTCATACCTCCAGAAAGGCTACTCACTAGTTCATTTTTCTTCTGTAATATATTTAAAATCTTCAGTAATTTTAAACCTTCTAGTTTAGCTTTAGACAAAGGCATTCCTTTAAGCTAAAAAAAATATGTATTGATATTTTAAATTTGAATTAATTCAATACACTATATATACCATTCCAAAAAATATTAAATGATCTAGTGTTGTTAAATAATTGAAAAGTAAATTGTGTTGAGGGCATAATCCAAGATTTTCTCTAAAATCATCAATATTACTAAATAAATCCTTTCCATTAACTGTAACACTACCAGATGTAGGAGAAAATAAACCTATAAAAATAAAAAAACAGTATATCATCAAATTATTATCAAAAATGTAAGTTGAAATAAAATACCAGTAATAATTGACATTGTAGTTGTTTTTCCAGCACCATTATGACCCAAAAGAGCAGTGATTTGTCCTTTATACAAGTCCATATTAACTCCATTTACAGCGTAAAAATTTCCATAACGTTTATGTAAATTTTGTATACTAATTCCAACTTCATATTTGTTAGATGGCTTTTCAAAAAGCCTACTAGTGCTTTTACTTATGTGTTCCATAACATTAACATCAGTCTTTTTGTTGGACCATTTAAACAAAAAATTTAATGGTTTTGCAATGCCATATTTTCCTGGCATAACTGAGTCTAGGTACCAAGCAATAAATCCGTACAAAAAACAATCAACAATAAACATGAACAAAATGAAACCAACAGAAAAACTATTTTTTCCTTTTCCAGAAATAAATAAAGTGGAAAATCCAAGGCCTATTCCTTGTGATTCAAGTGATGATATAGTGGAAAAAGTATTTGTAACAGCAACATTCGGAAGTAACATAAAAACCATTTGAATTAGAGTACTCGTAGTTGGTTTTAAAAAATTAGCTGGTATACTGTAAGAAAGACACCATGCCATGCTACCAGCAATTAAAGCAATTAATGGTCGATTAAATAAACTACTAACAGCAAAACTAAAAAATATTCCAGTAATCATATACATAACAAGAAATATCCACAACAGCAATGGATTAGTATAATTTAGCAATTTTCCTTTACCAGCATATAATTCAAAACAACTAACATAAGTAATAATTGTGATTGATATAGCATATACAAAAAAGTTGTGCAATATCCATCCAGTCCATATCATCCAGGATTTAAGGCCCATCATTTTCATCAATTCTTTTACACCAGAATCTTTTTCTTCAACAACTCTTTTAATTGTATTTGAACACATTAGCAAGAAACTTAAGACTGTAAATAACGGAAAGAATATTTGAAATAGTTGTAAAAATGTTGAATCCATTATGTATTTTGCATAAGGGTAAGATTGAATTTCAAAATTATAATAATCAAAATCACTAGAAGTGCTGAATGTAATAAAGGCTTTATCTAAAGCTAACTGTAATGCTAAGAATCCTGAAGTAAAATATATTTGACCATAGTCCATAGGCCCTGGAACTTCAAAAGTTGGAAACAATTGATCAGTTATCCAATATTTTTTTGTATTTCTTATTTTGTATTTAAAAACACTTGATTTTGTTGTTTCTTCAAAAACAATTCCATATCCATCTACATATCCACTTGAGTTGAATTTTTGTTTAAATTTATTCATTAATTCACCTTCATTATTAGCAGTTTCAATAGAAGTAAAATCAATATCTAAATTTTTTGCAACAGTCTTCATAATTTCTTTGGTCTCAATTGTTGGAGGAGTATAAATAAAGTACAACATAGAATGTTTTGTACGGAATCTCAAGTATAATTCTTCTTCATTAATAGGTGTTGGTATAGTTTGATTTATAACTATTGATTCTTGTGACATATGACCAGATAACTGTCTTCTTAAATAGTCAATAAAAATGAATAATAAACAAGGTACTATAATTTCTATAATAGTACTAAACCAATGTCTTTTTCTTAACTGTAAGCTTTTCCATAATAGCACTTTAATTTTTAGCCACATTTTGAAAAATGTTCTGAAATCAAATTTAAAATTAAATATTAATAAAATTATTTCTGTTGTCCTATAGAGAGACACTCTCAAGGTAGTGGCATTATTTGGACAGCGCAGGGTATACATTTACTTATTTAAAATCCATTATTGTAGTAATTTGGCCCACTTTATAAATTGATTGGCCTGAATAATTATTGAGTGGTTTGCGGTAAAAATATTTTCTTTTTTAATTAATATTTTGTTTTTCTTCTTATTTAAAAATAAAAACATGAAACATTACGTTACAAAATTGTCAAAATATTCCTTATCGCGATTATTCGTAAATCATAATCATGCAACATGTGTATAATTCAGAGATTTTAAACAATAACCAATATTGTTTAAAATCTCTGGTGTAATTACAATAATTTAATTGTATTATCTATCAGCTTTTATTAACCATCAGCTGCCAGCCTATTAACAGTCATTCATATTTCATAATGATAATCTATTATTGATAATTGAAAATATTAAAACATTACCTAAATAATATTTAGTGTTGATATTTTATCTGTAAATAAGTTTGCAAGCATAAAGATGCGTCGATGGTATCCCCTTAAATATTAACAAAAAATATAACTATATAACTGTAACTGTACCTAATAAACGCTTTATTACAATATTTATAATCACCTCTGGCTTTACTGCTTTTCTTAGTTAAATGATTTAGTAAATACCATTATTATTATATTATCATTAATAAATGGTAAAAATATTATTATTTTATTTTTGTTGTATTGAAAATTTTAGATAGGCTTAGTGGCCTGCTCTTACGCCATGCGTATTTAAAAAAAAAATTGAAATGACACTACTGTCTCAAGGTAAAATGTCTGATTTAGTCAACAGAAAAAACTAAAACCACTATCAAATTAATTTTTTAATTTTTTTCCATCTAGTAAATAGTATAATTATTTAAATAGTCCTAATTATAGTAATATTAAATAGAATTAAATAATTCTTACAATGATGACCTTTGTACTATTTTATCTTATTTACAAACATACTATATAAATAATACAGAAGTGATAAGAAAATACAAGAATTTTAGTCCGATGAATAATCAATAATTAGTCAAACTTGTTCAATTCAAACATTTTGATGAATAACTCAAAGATTGATATACATTTAACTAGTATGTGCTGATAATTTCCTCTTGGAAAATTAATAAAAGTTCGGTGGAAATGAACTCTTTTGAGATTTATATAAAATTGAAAAAATCACAATAAATGCTGCGATCAACAACAAAAATTAATTAAATCCTTTATAAATGAAATACAAAAAATAATTAATAAATAAGAAAATAATAAATAACTTATCAATACAATTATCTTAAAATATATTGTACTATTTTAAATATTTAATATTTAATTCAATTTAATATTTTACTTTTTTATTTATTGGTTACTTGTCTTGCACTTTTTAATTGGTCCCTATTATTTAGAGTTAGATTTTGACAAAGTATAACTGTTTTCCAAAATATATTTAACTAAACAAACTTATTTCATTTGAAAACCACCATTTTATTTAATTTATAACATACTGTTATACTACAACTAAGACTAACAATTTTTAATCTGTTTTTTAAATTTAGTTTTGATGTTACGAGAAAGGTATTCAATAACTCATTGTTTTAAGCAGTTCGTTTTAGTTTGAATAGACAATTCATATTATAACATTATAATCAGCATTGTTTTTTTATGATAGTGTCATTCAATAAATTTATGTTAAAAATAAGTAAATAGGTAATACCTTTGTGTAAAAATGAAATTATAAACAAATTACACATAAAATTATAAGTGAAAGAATAGTTACTGATACTATTAAACATTTTAACAACCATTTAATGTAGGTAGGTATAATAAATATAAATATACATTTCAAAAAGGACCCAATGCTGCATTCAGTCCAAATACTGTAAAATAGTAGGATAACAAACATAGAAATAACTTTAAATTTCCCATAAAGCTCAACATAGATTTAAAACGATTTGGATAACTCTTATCACATAATAAAATTGTTGGGTATTTTAAAACAAAAATAACTCGGTATATTTTGGATATAAACGAGTTTCTGAAGACCAACATTTACATAGATGTAAATATAATAATATGAGCAATCCCTCAGGTACGTTAGTCAAAACTTTAAAGTAATATATAGATGTATTATTTACAGGAAAACTGGAACCTGACGGAGCGTTCCTGGTAGTCATCCACCGATACCTCCTAAAGTCAGTAGTAACCTGTGTGGGCGACAATATTGAGAGAAAACCGCGGTAAGGAATACAAAAGACAAAAATAAAACTCGTTAGCACGATTTCATCGTGCAATAATAATATCGATTGGCCGACAAACCGATTGGGCTGTCGGGGTACTCACCGCGGTCGCCGGATGGTTAGCGTCGACAATATTTATGTGCTTATTCTACGTGCAATACGCACGTTTAACGTACACGAACAGACGATACGAATGGCGGCAGTTGATTACCGCGGAACAACAACCACACACGTCGGGCACGTACGACAAAAAGCTAAAAACCGTCACGGCAGCAGAAACCAACTGCGCGCCACTATAGATAAGTATTATCGCGTATATAAGTATTATACGCGCGTGCGTGACAACAGAAATCACCAGATGTGCGTGCGCGAGAAAATCAAGGTTACACGGACGGACAGTGGTCCGCGACGAAAATACGAGCCCTTCGGGAACTATATTAATCGGTTAGATAGAATTGTCTCACGCAAACATTATTCAACGATATAATAAACTTCTTATTATTGTTATCACGCATTATCCGTTACACACGGAGACACTCCGATGACGGAAGCTTCGACATCCGACCACAGAACACATGAAAACAACGAGAAATTCTCTGATAACCACTGTCAACGTTTTTACGTGATAACACCTAAGAACGTATTTATTTTTCATACATTCCGTGATAACACGTTCAATGCGACCGATCAGCTCGGCCTTGTACCTCTAAAAGATTTTAGCGCATATTAGTTGTATTTTGCCGTATCGATGTCGGTACTCGACAACCGTTACAATGCTATTCGTCATACACGAATACAATTTGGCAACTGAGATTTCATTATCTGTTGTTGCCATAGAGTAATTACTCTTGCGCCCACTCATTTATTATACATAGCAAGAAATTTCTTTGTATGACCATAAAAATACATACGTTTTTATATAGATTTAACATGCATTGCATACGCAGGGTACACATCTGCATACCCTGAACACACAGTCTTGTTTTTAAAAAAATTACCAAAAATAAATAAAAAGCATAGGTATTTGGTTTTTTAATGAATAATATATATGTTACGGGTAAAGTACACATTCGTATGAATAATATAATGTGTACATTATCCAGTGTGCTATGGATAAGGTATGAAGTAGAAAAATAAAACCAAATCATATGAAAAGTCGAAAAAAAGTAAATTATGTATTATTGAGTTATTATTTTATGTAAAAAATTTTTTTTTAAAATCAAATATAGTTATTTATTGGAACAGTTCAAATTCTGGTGGTATTTTGAGTTGCAAAATATACATTTACTCGTACATTTATTTGTTAACGATTATTTTTAACCACCGAAAATAAATTATGCATTACCTATTTCACTTAAAGATTTTTTTTGTAGCCGACACATAAAATATTTATAAAAGTTTCATTATGTTTTATTTATTTTTTTTCACGTTTCTTATTTCAGATAATATGTTATAATATTTTGATTCCGTTAAATTTACCGAACTATCATTCTTTTCATTAATTCATTTATTAAAACACTCATAAAATTTCTCTTTTTAAACTCGAAAACCAATAGCACCGTATTGAAGTTTAAAATTATTATACAATATCAATGCACATGATTTATCACAAATGATTCTGTTACGTGCCAACCGTTTGATCCGTTAATTCAGTTACAACGTCTCAGTCAACGCTTGAGTGGAAGTGTAGTCAGGAATAATTAAGACTTCTTTTTAAAATGATTAAATTTATTTAACTTATAAAAATTATCCAAACTACAAAATTCTGTAAATATTCTAGTGATAGAAATTATTTAAGTCCTAACAATTGTAACTTATAAAATAATTGGAAATATTTCTAAGTCCAGACCATAACATACACTGACGTGAAGGTGCTCAGTGCAGCATAGACAAGACTCGTCTGATTTGCCCTTGTTTTCGGGTCCCTTTTATATGTGATATTATATGTGTGTGTGTAAAATCCCAAATGTGTGTGTGTAAATAAATAAGATAATAAATTATTTTAAATAAGATGATTTCCTGTTAATTATGAGTGTGTGTGCGTTATCTCCAGGCCGTGACACAATTATTGACGCAAATGCCCAGGATGTGGTTTTTGATTACTATTCATTTTAATTTAATTTAATTTCCCATAAAATGTGATTAACGTTTGGTGTTATAACATTTATAACGTTCGATCAACTATTTATTTTAATTTAGTTTAATTTCCCATAAAAGCGTTTATGTGAACTCTTTATTCGTCCATGCCTGTGATTTCGATATTCTAACTTCTTATTACAATATCTAGTGAAATAACCACATGAGCTCAATACTCTAACTTATCTATAGTTGTGGTTTTTGATGTGCATGGGAACCTCTTTGTGATGTGTTTTACCGTGTGACTACGCGGGACGCGACAATTCATAATGTAAAATTTATATTTTATTGTATTTTATTCATATTATCTACAATTTATATTTTGTCGTATTTTATTTTATGAAAACACTTTATACACTCAAAGTTAGCTAATGTAGAAATTACCCGGTTAATGTACCTACAAAATAAACGGTTTACAAATATGTTTATTTTATCCAATAGGGTAGTGGTCACATTACCCGATTTTCGTATTCTACCCGTAACATATACACATGTAAATATTATATGATTTTGTATCCTACTACAATTATTATTATATTTATATATTCAGTCCCAGATATTTTTATTTATTTTTGAAATACAAATTATACACCAATGTATTACCGAAATTAAGAAGTACTATGATTCAAGAGATATTAAATAAAGAAAGCTTTTAATAATAAATGGATATAAATTTTAATCCGGAACACTTTATTGATGATTTAAAAAACTGAACTGAACACAGAATTGGATTGTGATCAATTATAATTATTTATCAAATTAATTTTGATTTTTCATTGAGTACATGAATTTGTTTTTGTTTATTCGTACTATTTCTTACGTAACCTTCTGTTTCAATAATACTTCTCGGCGATTAGATTTAGCGGAAGTCGAATTTTTCAGTTTTTAAATATTTTACTGAATAAATTAAGGCGTGACAGTGACATTGTGACTACGAAATTATTCCATTTCGTTAGTATTAACAACGAGTTACTCTTTTTACGCGCTTAAATTGCATGTTTTCTAAAACTATAAATCATGTGCATTTAGTTATAATTGAGTATTTTTGTACCTACAAATCGGCGAGTATTTTGATAATTTTACTAAAAAGGTCAATTGGTTAGAGATGTATAATTAGAATTATAATTATAAGTACGATATAAACACTATAAATTTGGACATATTTACTTTAAAATCGACCAAGTAATGATATTGATTTAGGGAATGTGAACGCATAAAATGTTGGAGATACATTACGTGGGAGTAGTCTTCGTGTCGCCGTGGCGCCGCGGCAGTCATTACGCCATTTCATTGACCCAGTCCGTCTTAACTATACAATGTTTGAACACATATTATGTACAGTATACATACGTGTTCGGTGTATCATTGAATATTCGTATGTGACATAAAAAAATGTTACCCTACAGAAATAAACTTTTCAATTTTTTTTTATAAGATCTAATGATAATTTACGAAGCAAATCGAATTATGCATTACACATCTTGACATAAGTATAAATTAATATTAATATTAATAACACATTTTATTATTATCATTCATAAATAGAAACAGTATTAGACAGTATATAATCCGACGGAATAAGATATATTTTTTTGGATTTTATAATTCCCAAATCATAATTTTCGTGTAAATCCGGTCATACTTGGTTCGTGTGTATGGTGAGTGTACTAGCGGAATTTGTATGATGTACTAATTATGTTGTTCCTATACGGCTCGTGTGCTCGCCAATTATTCGTCAATCGTATATTCTTTGCTCGTCGTTGCCAATGTTCCTACACGACTCGCAATTGCCAAATATTTGTTCAAAATAATGAAATATTTATAATAAATATTGTTGTTAATAATTTATTTTTGGGGAAAAGCTACTTTAAGCAACTAAAGAGCCACAGATATGAGTGATATAAATTTGAATATAGGGAAAAAATCAAATGTAAATCACGTAATGATCTGGCACGGCCAGTATTTTATAATTTATTATGGAACTATAATCAGCAGCCAACTGTGTTGCAAAACAAAATTACACTAGGCAATAAACAAAATTGAAATAACTTAACTAATAACTAGAATGACTTACACTGAAATAATTAAACGAAAAAACTATTTATTTTTGGAATCAACATATAAACATAATATACCTATATAATATTGTAGTTTTATTTTAGATTGAGCAAATTATTATATTTTAAAGTCCTAACTATTATTATATACCTATTATATTTCGTTCTGAACAATCGTCGGCATTAAACAATTTTATTAATTGCTTCACAAAACCACGCTTAGTATTGTGTTTTTTCACTTTAAACGGAGTTTCGTAGGCTTCGCCGCCAAATACTTTTTTCTGTGTCTTTTAATTTTGACGGCAACGACGACACATAACATTTGGCGACTCTCACTTCTCTTGTAAGCTTTTCACATACGATACGTTTGAATTGCTGACCACCCACTTCCGGTGAAAACTTTTCGTGCAAATAGTATGCCTATCGTATACAAATGGCATTTCACAAAATTAAATACTATTACTATATATATTTCTTTTAAATAAGTCTTAACAGAACAGTTGTAGAAAAATATAATTGACTACGTATACATTTCACACAAAACACAAAATTATACTTACATTTTCAATACAATTTATTGTTTTAATAGATTTTTCATAACAATTCGGTTTCATTGACATGTTATTCAGTTGACTATCAATGTTTTTAATAGTCGACCGTAGATGAATCAGACACTCCGTACAACATTTTGAATGTTCTACGGGTATTCCTGATGAATTATTTATTTTAAAATTGCAATCACATTTTTCATTATACGTTTGTAAAATATTATATATTTTATAATATGGGTTATTTGTATCTCCTTTCGAGCAATCGGCCACGTTATTCTTCAACCCAACAGGCTTATTGTTTTTATGTATTTCGGGTCTCTCGACGCTCTTGGCATTTATTTTATTACACGTATTGCCTTGGACTAAAACATTACAAAAACATAATTTTTTAACTGTTGTAGCACAGTCATATACAGTACCGGCTTAAGGATTCATGGGGTCTGATGCTAAATATATTTTTTACATTAAAAGGTACGCCTCCTAGACACTTATACAAAATGTATAAAATTAATATTAGCACAAAGTTTGGTTAATACTAGAACTCCTTAATATTGATTTAAATAAAATTGTTTGAATAAATAATTTTGTCACGCCTACTAGGTTACCTGTTTACTTTAAAAGGCTCGCTTTTTATTATATCGATACGTTCAGCATGACCAAGTTGGACTAGTCTATTTCCAGAGTCTGTTAAATAAATTATAACTACTAGAGATTCAAAAGTAGATTTACTAATATTTTAAAAGCCCGTTGATTGATTATTATTAGAAATTGTAAATAATAATGTTTCTACTGAATCTTCACTTTCTAAGGATTTAAGCACGTTTT